TGTGTTTAACATTATTTTTCATGGGAGCCATTATCAAAATGATACTCCAGGAGAAGTGCAGTGGGATCAGACTAGCTTTTTTAAGAGTTACTGAGTGAGAGGGGATGTTTTCTGCCCAGAAGTGCCTGGTGGCAGCCACTAGCAGAGCAGGGGGGTCTGCCCCTCCTGGACCAGGCATGTGTCCCATGTATGACAGCTCACTGGAACCCAGGCCAGGGTGGCACAGAGTCTGGAGACTTGGGCTACAGATCTCTCACTCATCCCACAGCCACTTCTGCTTCCTCAAGGAGACGGGGGTTATCCCCAGGTTGCAGGTTCATGTATTTTCAGGCAAATTTTGACCATGTCTGTATTAATAATAATTATTTTTTAACAAGAAAATACAAAGGTATACATGCCATTTTAACTGTCCGATTCTCTTGATCTTGGGGCAGGGAGGGGAGCCACTTGCCAAACAAACACTTACTCACTAGCAGAGGTTGGTAAACTTCCATCACAAACAGTGTGCAAACAGGGACACCTCAGCATAATATGAGATGCTGAGTGAGGGTCACCCCCTATGCTGCTCATCTAATTCAGCTTCTATGCTGTTCTTGACCAATTCGACTCTCTCAGTTGATCTGCTCTGGCTTCTGCTGGTGAGCAGCATCAATTCATAACTGGCATGACTCATTAAGGCTGCTGTGTCTTTACTTAACAGCTCTTAGCAATGGGGTGAAACCCTTGCATAACAGTGGAACAGGCAGGGCACACATTTGCACATGCAGTGCCATCCAAATGAAGAGAAGGTCTTGCAGCTGCGGACAGGAAAGAAAAGAATGAACATTATGCATTTCTTGGTTTCTAAGTTCCCTGATCTATGCTGCTACAAGAGATGCCATTGGCCTGCTTTCACACTGCATCCATAACTCCATGTCACTTTGCAAAGTATCCCTGGTTTTTAGAAAAACTTGCTTTGCTTCAGCCACTTTCAAGCTTGTGATAATTTTCAGTTTATTCCTCTAACAGACTCTCTCTGTTTTCTGTCTTAAGACCTTTTTCCAAATTCCTTGCTTTTCACTTTTTGTGTATTTATTTCTCTGGTGATATCAATTCTTTCTACAATGGAAATTTCACTCTCAATTCTCTTCTACTTCATAAAAGAGTTTTCCTAAAGTGTGAGCTGGGCTGAAGTACTTTCAGTACTTCATTGCTTTCTGTCTGTGTCCGACCGCAGTGACTTTTCCAGATTAGATGGTATTTCAGTCACAGCCCTTTTTTTCAAAACACTATTAAGTGGCTGTTTTCAGAAATACAAAAAGAAATCTCTTTGTTCCAGAAAGGACTTCTTTTGCTGGTCCATGTTTTTATCTATTTAAAAGCAGATTAATTGTTTGCTCTAATGAAATATGACATTTCCTTCCGCCTGTGAAGGATCACGGAGAACCAGAGGCCACTTTGTTTATGGTATGTGACAAAATTAATAGCAGAGCAATGAAGGAATCACTTTTGACTTGAGTGACTTTAGCGGCTGTTGGTGGAATTACAGTCCTCTCAGGGCACTCGGCATCACAGAGGCCTGGGGCCTCAAGAGAGCTATTCCTCTCCACCAGACCGGCAATGCTGAAGATTTTCATCTATGATCTATTATAGTTTTCCAGCATATTGCCTTAATCACAGGGCATATTCTTCTTCCTACTCTAATGTGTGACTAATATCCCACTGACTTGATGAGAAAGCTGGAAAAGCCTATAGATTATGGTGTATATTAATTCACTGCCACATGGTACTAATCGTACACTGTCATGATGTACTCTGCAGCAGCTAGAAGCAGCATTTGCTGTTGACACAGCCATAACAACACTGTATTCATATCAGTAATTTACACTTACACAAAGCACATGAGGAAAACAGGCAATAAAAAAATCTACAGATTTTTCATATTACAGGCTGGCAGTAACACCTGACTATTACTGCTGTCACTCAGAAGGCATGTTTTTGTACTTGACAAAAGAAACAGCTCAGTGTTAGTAACATGGGGTTCAGTCTCACACACTACAGCTGTAACACGTAAATATTAATTCAAGGATGAAAGTATTCAGCTGAACAGGAACCATTTGGGAGAATGGGTAGATGAGAATGCATTAATTATATATATTGAGGGATGTATAAATTGGAAATACATGAACCTGCTTTGCATGAAGACCCTGATTCCATATCCATAATGACAATACATTTCTAACTCCCTGATGGACATGTCTGCTTTCTGATCTCCATTTGCCCCAGCTGGGGTAACAGGGTGGCAGTGTGGACTGATAGTGACAGTTCCACAACAGGCAAGTACTTAGAATCGTAGAATTTGCATGGTAAATAAGAAGCATAGACTTGCACTGCTCTGGCTCCAAACCCAAGGATCTGCTTCATGTGGAACAGTTTTAAGAAAGTTTATAAGAATAACAGAATTATTAAAAAATATTACTAAAGAAGCCAAGCGTTATATATTAGCCTGCAGCACACTGAATATGAAGTCGCTGTTGCTTTCATTGGGGCTGGATGCTGAAAGGTGAGTAGAGGAAGAGTTTCAAATATCTAAGCACGTACCTCCCAACAACTAGTATTTTCAAGGCAAACTAGATACCAATATCACTTTCAAATCTTATTTCTCAAAATGAATACAAACTTCAGTGTTTTGTTCTTTCTGAGCAGACATAGTGTGAAAGGTAGATAAAGAAGGGGAGCTTTTTATGACACCAAATTCAGTCCAGCAAAAGGTTTGGCTCCTATCTGTATCAGGATCCAAGGATGCACAAATGTGAGCACACATGCTCACCATTTCATGCATGCGCATATGACTGGGAATACTGTCATACAACACAGGTTGAAACAAAATAAATCACAAAGTTCCCTGCTGCTGTCAGATACACTATACCTACAGAGAAGCACAGAAAGGAAATGCATTTTTATGTTGCTTAAACCACAGATCCTATTCAACCATTAACATGCAAACTTTTTCATCCCAAACTGTAAACAGACATTAATTGGGAAGGAACCAAAAGCTGTCCTTACACAGGAGACCTGGGTTCAGTCCTGCCTTTGCTATAGAATTCCTGGATGGTTTTGGAGAAGCCATTTAATTCATTTGTGTTTTCCTTTGTAAAATGAAAATCTATTTTTGCTTTCTCCTATTTCTACTGGCTTTTGTTTTTAAGATATAATCTCAAGCAAATACACTTTCTTTAGATAGATACCTAAATGCAAGTGCCTCATTCAATTTGGCTTTGTGGTACAAATGTAATTCAATTAATTAATGTAAGAAATATAAACCTAGTATGGGTTATGTCTGATATAAATTTGAGGGACAACCTGTGGCATATTTCTCTGCTGACAGCTACCCTGGCTTTGTTACAGTGTGCATCTGCTTTTCCTCCCAGAGGAATGTATTCAACATGGCTCAGTTGATTGCAGTCATGTCCCTGCTCAGAAGCCTTTTCTGCAGCACAGAGATAGCTCGAATCTCAGACTGACCAAAACCACAGTGCAGAGGAGAATCTCCACTGCTCCATGCATTCAGAATGCAGCCTCTAAAGTACAGTTAAACCCACGAGGTTCCAAAACTACTGTAGTTTGAACCCCTGATGCATATTATGTGTGTTGCCATCAGATCTCTGAGCTGCACAGCATTTGCAGACATCTCATACATGCAGGAGTCATCCATCCTCCAAGGCACTCCACCTTGACCACTGTCCTTATCTCTGGTTTTCCTCAGCTCTGGCAGGGCTGCACCCACCATGAGGCCACCCTGATGCCAGAGGCCTGCTGGGCACCAACCCCTGCTCCTGCCCGACAGCTCCCTGCGGCCACGGCACCTATCCCCGATAGCTGCTATCCCTATTCCTTGGGAAACACTGCTCAAAGAGAGAAGGGGCATCTTCTAGGCCTGGGGAACCTGGCAGTGCTGGGGCTGCCCCGAAGAGGAGGGAGCGCGCCCGTGGGGCACGCCGCCACCAGCGCCCGCTGGGCTCTGCAGCGCTCAGCGTATACTGGATTTGGAAACGACGAGCTGCCGCGAAGGACGGAGAGCTTGATCAGCCACATCCTGTCGCTTCCCGCCGCCTCGCTCCCGTCCCACCCCGCTCCCGGTCCCGCCGCTCCCGGGAGGTGGCAGTGTGTCCCCACGGAAGCGCCCGCCCCCCTCCCAGCGGGCAGAGCCGCCCGGTTAATCTCACTCTCGTTTTCCGCCCATCTATGGACAGGGAATTTCTCGCGCGTGAAAGGCAGACTTGTGAACGATCTATAAAACACTGGTGGGCTTCACGGTGAGGGAGCTGCTAAGTGCTGCAGCTCAGCCGAGAAACCGGGTTTACGGACAGTGGTCGCGATACTGGCGTATTTATTACACGTCTATACGCATGTCTGTACTAATACATACATAAAGGTGTATGAATAGAAACATATATCAAGACTTGGTGCAGAGGATCTATAAACTCGGACAGAGAGAAGCGTTTAGCCGCGATGCCATTTACATTTTGATTGTGCGTTTAGGGTGGAAGACGCGTGGATGCGTGTCGGGTGTCCGTATGCCACTCCAAACATGCACACTCTCATAGGCAGCGGCTAAGGTCCCTTTAAATCCTCCCTCCTCAGCGGTCAAGTGCGGGATTCGGGCCTCGTTGGCCAGAGCAGCTCTCAGAGGTACTGCAGTACGGAGGGTCCGTAGAGCATCCCTGGACCACAGCGGTTTCTGGGGACCGCCCAGCCCAGCCGCAAGTTTCCTCACGGCCCCGCCGCAAGTTTCTTTTCCCCCGTCACCCGCTTTCTCAAAAGCCCTCTTCCCTTTCCCTCCTTTCCCTTCTGGGGCAGGAGCCCCTACGAACCCCCCAGCAAGAGCCTTCGCGCTGCCTGCCGGAGCGGGACCGCAGCATCTCCCGCCGGGAAGCCGGCATCTGCCCAGCTCCCCGGGCTGTGAGTCCGCCCCGACGGCAGCGGCCGTGGTCTGCGGGGCAGGGCGGGGCGGCACTCACCTGACGATGACATACATGACCAAGAAGTTGCCGAAGAGCCCCACGACGCAGACCACGGAGTAGAGGGCCATAATGGCGATGGCCGTGACCACCGAGGGGCCACCGCCCGCGGGCGCGCAGGGGCCGCCGCCGCCCGCGCTCCCGTTGGCGCCGCCGCACGGCTCGGACCGGTTCCAGCCCGCCGAGGTGTTGCCCCAGGCTGCCGACGGCGCGGCCGCGCAGGGGGGAGCGGCGGGGCGGCAGGCGGCGGCGGAGGCGTTAGCGGCGAAGGGCACCTCCAGGGCGCCGGCGAGGAGCGGCGCGGAGCCGTTGCCCAGCAGGTAGGCGACGGCCATGGCGCGCAGCGGCGTCAGCGTGGCCACCGGCTCTCCGCACCCGAGTGCTGTCGCGGTGCTGCTGCGGCGCGCGGTGCCGGGGAGGCGGCGGCTGCGGCGGCAGCGACGCCCGCCCCGACGGAGCGCCCAGCCGCTGGCTACGGGCACATGTGTGCGGCGGGCGGGGCGGGCAAGGGAGGAGGGGCCCGCAGCGGCGGGAGCGGCTGAGGCGGCTGGGAGGCGGGGCTTGCTGTCACCACGCTCCCCCCCCAGGGCCTGTGGGGCACGGGCAGCCCCAGGCGCTGTCACCTCCAGCGATGAGTGGAGCCGTCTCTGGGCGCGCCCAGTGCGTGGCGTCCGTCGCTCCGCTGGAAGGCCCGGGGGAGAGGGGCCGCTCCTGCAGGTTTCCCTTTCCTTGCGGATGGCACTTGACAGCAAAGCGCTTAAAATGTTTCCGAGGGCCGCAGGCACGAGTGGGAAACACAGAAAGTACCTGGAGAGGCTGAGGGTTATGAGCGGGGCAGGGATGAGGTTAGCGATTAACGTAATGAGTCAGAGATCTTGAAAAAACGGTATCTTCTGTGATTATAGAGGTTGCTGCGCCTTGTGGTGAACTGTACAGCACAATGCTGGAAGGGTGATTGTCATCAGAATTGTGCTCGAGAAATTACTTGGATCTTCTGGGTCCTCCGGATTTTCCCAGGACTTTCTGTTCCAGAGCCCTAGTGATGCTCTCCCCTAGACATTGGTGTGATTGTTATTGGATGCAGTAACATAGATAGGAAAGACATCAAAACTGCTCTCTGAACTGCACTGCTTGACTTGTGCACTGCTTGACTCGTGCACTGCTTCTTTCCATTAACCCATTTCTGTGATTAGGTTATTTCAGATGAACATGGAGGTGTGTCTTCAGGAGCCCCTGCTGAATGGTCAATCATTAATTATTAGGATCTAGCTCTTTTTACTGTCTCATCAATGAAATCAGAGGGGATCCTTGGTTAAGCAAAAAAAAAAAAACACAACCTCCTAGTAAGCCGGAAGGAGATAGAGTGGCAGTGATTGCTCCTGCTGCCTCATCGTGGACGCACACTTAGTATGTCTGCTTGCCATGTGCAGAGCACCTCCCGCTACTTCAAGAGTGGTAATGGGAGGGGGGGGAGAGAGGAGAAGCAACTTGCACCCTGAGGGAAAGATGCAAAACCCCAGGCATTTCAGTCTGAGGAGTTCCTGTGTTTCCATGAAACAAGCAATAGGTACCAGTGCCAACCAGGGCAGGTAACATCAGCAGAGTTAGATCACATGCTCTTCCAGTGTATCTCTGATCATTCGAAGTGGGGAGGAAGAAGGGAGATTGGGAAAGTGGTGTCACTGGACTTCAAGAGGGATATAGATCTGGGCAACTGGGATTCCTGGTAACTTTTAGTTACCTGTAACTGGTTACCTATAACTGGTAACTTTTTCCAACCTATGTACTGTCAAGTCTTATCAGGCAAATAGTGGAATAGAAGAAGAAGATCAAGCAAGCTGTTAATGGGCACTTTTGGCAGATAGCATGTATTACTTCATGGCCAGAGAGAGTATTTTCAGCATCCTTTATTGATAGGAGAGAGCCATTTAGCATTGTATTCAGAAAAAGAAGAACTTTAGAACAGGAATTATGTTGTCTGTGGAAAAAAATCGTGGAGAAGGGGAAATGAAAGCAAGAACTCTGAGATTTCATATGGTGAAAGCCACTGCATCTTTATCCCCCTCTGAAGTCTAGCATGTTTAGTCATACACAGGGCGGGAGGAACAAGGCTTTAAACCCTGGCCTTTCTCAAAGACTTTCATCCCTGGGTATGTGCATAGTGTGCAGGAACCTCTCTCTGTGCTTAGTCTTTGTTCCACCCAAACCATCAGAAATGTTTAATGTAAGCCTGGGCACAATTTGTATTTAGCCCTTTATACCTCTGCCTAGCTGTGGAAGGGATGGGGAAGAAAACTGAAGGCTGCTAGGAGACCCACTTAGTATCTTGGGTCATAGCCAGGTTTGTATCATCCTCACTGTCAGTAGGGCCTTTGGTGTATTGAAAATGCATGTCTTAAGAAAACCTTAAAAAATAGATACCCAGGTAAATCTATTGTTACATACAAGCCCTTATTATTAAAGACAGAAGAATTATTATGCCTGATTAAATCAAACTTTGGGTAGCTGCAGATGAAAACTAAGGCTGTGGAGAGGGCTGGCAAAAAGCCCTAGGAGTTGAGCCTGTTTAGGACAGGCTCCATTAAACAAAATTTCAAGGTAGGGGAATGAAAGTTAAATGCACCTCTTTGCAAAGTTATTACAAATGCTGTTTCTCAGGGACATAGGCAATATGAAATAAATCTTTACAATAATGCTTTCAGATGGTGAAGGACATTTTAAGTGTAGTAATGCCTGAGACCCTTTCTTCAAATCATTTCAGATAATAAGGATTGTGTAGTCAAGGTTCTGCTGAAAAGGTTATTTGTGAAGTTGTGGACTGGTAATTCCTCCTTGTGGGTAATAGTGTAGTGCGTGTAGAAAAGGGAAATGCATAGCTTTGAGACATGTACATTTTTAATGGATGCCTCAACATCAGGTTGGGGTCAGAATCACAACCTCCATCTCAAATCAAATTTTTCTTCTCTCTTTTCTGCCAGAGCACTATAGAAAATCACAAATTGCCAGATCACAACAGGAAAGTTTCTGGGACTGTAGCTAGAAACAGATGGACTTGAAGACTTGTGAAAGGCTTAAGACTAGCAGAGAGTTTTAGGATGAAAATAGTTTGTGAAAGACTCTCCTGGGAGTACTGGTCAGTGAGATCACTTTGATACAGTATAGATATGTGTGTATGTGTATTTCAATAACAAACCCAGAGTTTCATGTAGTCTGTTCACTTCCACAGTTTCTCCATGAGTCCTAAACTAAATGGAAACCATGTGTCTTGCTTACAGTCTAGTTAAGAAACAGAGCTGAGACATTGGTTGTTGTGGTTGGCAGTTTGCAAAGATAGCCTCTAGTGTCATGATGGTGTGGCCTGTTTCTTCTAGGAGCAGGGTAAGAAGGCATCTGGAAGCAGACTGTGCTGTTTGTCAGGCTTGCTGATGGAAGTGTTAAGTCTCCTTGCAGTGTTACCTAAGAGCCTGTGTTGCATCCATGTATCCCAAATGAGCAGAATGAGCAGAAGTTATGCAAGAGATGGAAGGAGAGCACTACATCAGTAATCTCAGAGCCATCTGCATCACAGCCTTCAACCCGTTCTGAAGTCCTCCAATCCCCACATTCTCCTTTCTCCCCTCCAGGGCATCCTCAAGGTGATACAGCAATAATGTTTTGGTAGCAGCACTGTGAAGGCTATTTTAAGTCATTTATACAGTACATTATACAGTACTTAGGTTTGGTTGGGTTTCAGCAGAGGCCAACTCACCATGCAATGCAAGGAATGTGTGGCATGGAAAATACTATTTAAGAATTTACAGGCAAGTCTGTAAATTACTATTTCAGTAATATATTTCCAGAAGGGCTGACTGTGGTCACATTAGCTGACATTTTATCTAATGTAGCTCAGACAATTTCTTTATGTCTTGTTTCTTCTTTAAGTCATTCACCCGAAATCATGCTAGCTGAGATCAGTATGTCTCCTACTCTTTAGCTGCAGTGAAGTGTATTAACCTAAACTTGTCTTTATTCGCTGAAGTAAATAGAACGTACATTGTTCAGTGATTGTTCAGGGATTTTAAGCATGATTTTTATTCAATAATGCTACATAATCCTGGAACTTAGGCTACAGAATTCCGGTGATGAAAAATACAGATAATCTTTACAGATAATCAGATTTGTAGATATCAATGCTTCTTTTTCATATAACTTCAGGATTTGTAGCATTTGCCTATGTTTGCTTGAAAATTCTAATTTTCATATACAAAGAAAATAGTTATTTGGATTTTGGCAGCAAAAGCCCAGTTGATAGCCAGCCAAAGAAGAGGTTAGAGTAGATGGTCATAGCTGTGAGAAGAAACGCAGAGACCAGGGTATGGAGCAGTTGGTAGGAGGAGGTAGTACTGAAGTTAAAATCCAAGATGTGAGGGGCTTGGGTAGGACTGTAGTGTCCTTTAGGAAAGGGGAGATGGACAGGTGCTAATGGAGTCCAGTACAAAACCAGCTGAGTTTAGGTGTCTACTGCAAGCCACTGTCGAGGAGGTGAGATGTGAGGTAGATCACTGGTCTGATGTAGTGGAGATTTCCTTCTCTCTTACAGGTGTTTAGTTGTGAGGGGACTAGGTGCTGACTTGGGGAAATGAGAGTTGTCCTGACTTCTAGCATAAAATCTGTGTGCACACCATTTAAAGTGGTATGTTTAAAGTCGACTAGTTTGTGCTCTACAGGACAGATTTTTGGAAGTGGGGGACACGGGTGCCAACTGCCTGAATGGCCTGGAGGGCTGTTGTAAATTCTGGGGTGCTAGGAATATGTGACATGTTTGCTATAGTTTGAGTCCCTAAAATTAACTGACTGCTTCGACAGATTTGATACAAACGTTTTTGCCTCAATTTGTAGAATAATATTTAGGATAATAATAATGTTTTAATAAGTCATGTACGAGGCTGGTCTCCAATCAACTGTCTTTGTGGAGAGTAGAAGTTTCTGTGTTCAGCTTTTTCTTTCTTCACATGGGAGAAGCTGTCTCAGTCATTTGTACAACCTCTGTTATTAGTGACCCAGGTCACCTGTGTCTCCTTGCTAAGTTGTGACAGTTAACTGAACAGCTAAGGGTGGCAAATATGAAGTCCACTAGTTGAACCACTTCAGGTTCCAGGATCTCTTGAGTTATGCACTCATGAAAACGAAAATATATCTTCCAATTTCAGTAACTGTAGTTATGAGTGATAGCTTCTGTGTTTGTATTACAAGTCAGAGGGACATCATGGTTTGGGGATATAGACTTGGACTTCCTTATCTGACATGGCTACTAGGCAGATTCACTATTAAGGACTCCGTTAACAGAACTATGCTTGAAGAAACTAACAATTTTGTATTTGCTGATTCGGAGCTACATAT